CCAAAGGGTGGACTTCTCACTATGCCCTTCATTATTGGTAACAATCAAAATCTCTCATTTTTTTTCTCTGTGAATAAACAAAAAACACAAAATCTCTCTGTGTTCGAATTCTAACTTCACTTCTTCTTCTATGAAGGAAACGAGGGGTTCGAGAAAGTGGCGAGCTATGGATTATTACAGAACATGATTCTTTATCTGATGAGTGATTACGGTTTGGGAGCTGTTAAAGGACAAACTGTCTTGTTCATGTGGGTCGCTGCTACTAATTTCATGCCTCTCGTTGGAGCTTTTCTCTCTGATTCCTATTTGGGTCGATTTCTCACCATCTCCATTGCTTCTCTCTCCAGTTTCCTGGTAAACTTTTCTCCTTCCTCCTCTCTGAGTTTCATCAAACCGGTTTAATCTTCTTCTTTTCCGGTTTAACCCGGTTTATTCACGGTTCGATTTCAACTCGTTAAAACATGACATTATTGTCATTTTTATCGATTAAACATTCGGTTTTAAAGTGGTTTGTTTTGGTTTATCCGGTTTATTGTCAATACGAGAGGAGGCTTTTCTTTTGCTTGGTTGTTTCATTCAAATTAGAACCGGAAATCGAAAATGTCGGTTTAGATTGATTTGGGTGAAAAGTGTTTTCTTACTCAAACTTCGATAATTGGACTTAAATTCCGGTGCAAGATTTCGATAATTAGACTTTACTTTGCGTTCGACAACAAAAAGAGAATTCAATAAAATCTAGCAAAATCATAGAATTAAGGGCCTGGAATTAAATGGTACGAGGTTTTTTTAAAAGTAAAAAAAAAATACATATTATTAAAATATTAGAATGGTGAATTTTTTTGTTCCGGTAAATTTTAGGGAATTTACTACTACTAGTACTAAAAATTTATCGTATCCTGAATCATTAATATCGAGCTATTTATTTGCTTAAGAAAAAAAAAAGTTGGTTTATGTATTTAATAATACAGTAATCATGTACAGTGAAATTTCTATTTTAAGAATAATAATTAAAAGTTTTCAGAAGCCTTTTTCCATTAAGAGTCAAAATTTTCACATGATGCATGTGCATTCCTGAAATTGCTGTTCAATGAATGAAAAATAAAGCGCTTTATTTGTTTAATATTTGTTCCATATAAAAAAAAAAGATTAAAGCCGGTAAAATTAAATTCGAAGCCAGGTGTTCTGAAATGTCCCATGTGAAATGTGATTATATAATAACAGGTTTTTTAAATAATCATAAAGTATTTAATATCATTATCATTAATTTGATCTATTCTCTAAAAATCTGATTGCTCTCCTTTGTGGTTGTATGACCTTGTGGGCTTTCTTTTGGCAAGTTGTGTATCTGAGTGACCACACTTCTGAATCTCTCTATAAACAAATATTAGTA